ACAAATAAATAAATAAATAAATAAATAAATAAAATTGTTTGGAACTATAAAATTGACCTTTAAAAATGCTTATGTTTCAGCTAAGTGCTCAAGTATCCTTTTAGCATCAGGAATACTTGCTCTCATCATGGGGATATCAAAACTGCTATTTTCCCCTCAAAATGCATGAGAAGACCCTCTAGTATATATTAATATGGTGCCCTGAGGATGTCTCTATTTATAATGTAGAGTATCTCATGAAAAATTCTAGTTCTAGGTAATAGTGCTCCAAGGCAGAACAGAGTGGTCTGTCCCAGGTGAGTTTCTTAGGTGGCCCCCTGTGATGCAAATTGTGCTGCCCTCAAGGCACCCTATAAATTTATTATAAAAATCTAAAATAAAAAATCACAAAATAACAAAAAAGTTTGCCTTACTAAAATGAAAATCATTCCCCTGAACTCAAATGTAACTTTAAGATAGAGCAAAGCAACAGTTATCATAAGAAACAATAGAAGAGGCCTCCAGCACTCCATACTTTCTTATATATCTCTCCCTAAAAAAAGTAAAAAATTTGATTTTTAGTTGCTGAAGTAATTATGGTGTTCTATGTGCTTTGTACTCACTACATTGCTTTGTGGTTGGAAAATGAGCATTAACAATTATTATAATTTATTGTGTCTAAAATTTGTTTAAAAAATCGTCGTATCACTTATTTTGATGTTTCCAGAAATGTGTACTGGCAAGAACTTCTGAACAAATGGTTAAATAAAAATCATACAGTACCTTTTAAAAACCAGTTATTTGAGACATCTGCTTCTGGCCATGATAAAGTAACAGGGAACCTTTCACCTTAAACAAAGAAAAATTTGACAAAAGTATAGAAGGAATTGGTTCAGAGCTTGAAAAATAAGCAGCACATGAGTGGTCCCTAAGAAAAGAGGGAAAACGTGAGCTTTGCCACTGCTCCAGCTGACTGACTGCCTAAAGAGAGTTTCCAGTTCTCAGACAAGAGAGGGGAACCAAAACTGAGCCCTGTGATTTCCACATTGAATAGACAGAAGCTGGAATACAGAAGGCCAAGACAAATGGAATTTCTAGGGTAAAGTACCAGTGAGGAGGGAGCTACACAGATAAAGATTTTCAAAGCGTGGCAGATTTATTTCAGATCTTTGAATGAGTAATGATCTGTACAAGAAAAGACAATACTGTACCTCTGACCAAATAAAGAAGCAACAGAAAGCAATAAGCCAGGCAATTCCTACAACTCCGACAGGGACAGAAATGTTCCTACCAGCTGGAGTGGGAAGACCTCGTAATACACGCAGCATGAGGAAGAGTCTTCAGAGGGTTCTGACTTAGCCATAGAGTCACATTAATCCTAGACTAACAAAACTTAAAGCCCAGTCTCAAAGAAATCTAATTCCTAAGAACTTAATTGTGTGGCAGGACAAAATCCAACATTAAAGAAATGCCAAAAAGTTCAGCACCCAAAAACAAAAACACAATATCCATTATCCAGTCAATATTCACTCAGCCAGTAAAGAGGCATATGCAGGAGAGATGACAGAATTATCAAACATGAGTTTAATGAGGAGAGAAATGGAAAGCATTTTTATTGGAACTTTTAGAGATGAAAAATGTAGCACCTGAAATATATATTTATATATCCTGCATATGATTAATAGCAGACTAGGCACTGCAGAAAGAAAGAAAAAAGGTGAATTTGAAGACATGCAATGGAAACTATCCAAAATGAAGCATAGAGAGAAAAAATAGTCAGAAAAAAAGAAGTATTAGTAAGCTCTGGAATGGTCTAAAGTTGTCTGATATGTGTGTAATCAAAATCTAGAAGAAAGCCAAGAGAGGAGAGGAGAGAAAAATATTTGAGGGGGAAATGACCCAAAATCTCCCAAATTTGGTAACTTCTATTTATTTTTTTTAAATCCTATCTTTGAGAAAATTCCATTTCCCAATGATTGACTTGGACAAATAGCCCAAAACTCAAAGCTGGTACTGAGAAATTCAACATAATACCTTAACTATTTTACAAAAAATTAAAAGAGTGAGAAAGAAAGAAAATGAAAATAAATAACAGCCGTAGAAGCGAGTTAGGTTGAAATGCCATGTGGTATTTTTGCCTTAATTCTGAATTTCCTTGTTCTCATCAATCTAAATCAGGCCCTAATGATATTTAATGAGGCTACTTGTATCCTCATAATAGGCAAACAGAAGGGAGGTTTAAATAATTCTATTATTTCACAATGATGAAACAGATTGAATATTTCAATTATCCTACTTATTATAGTACACATGGAACAAGCTCTGTAATCTGCTTCGATATATATAGGCTCTTTAACCACACCATGGTGGGACTAATGCAGTCAATTTGGTTGAGCTTCTCTCGCTGATTCAGTGTTGGAATAAAGTACTTCACAGATTAGCTTAGTCTGCAGCACTTAAAGGTCAGGATTTATTGTAATGTAAATCACAAAGCAATTTTATCTTGACAGAGATTACATACTGTTACAATATTTCTCGCTGAATCTAGTGATGCGTTTGCTTTTTCTTTGCAACTGCTGTGCAAATTGGACCGTAGCCCAGAAAAGAAAAAGAGATGGCAGGCTGCTTTGGCTTTTTAGAAACAACTTAATTCTCTTCATTTTTCAAAGTTTCACACAAAAAAAATAACTCTGAAAATACACATGAAGTCATACACAAATACTTGTAAACCTTTACAGACCCTGAGTTTGAGTGCACACAGAAGCTGTGAATGACCATCTCTCAAATATGTTGACGTGTTTTAGGAAAGAGAATGGCTGACCTCTAATCATTCATACCCAAGTATCTTAATACATTACCAAAATTGTCTCCATTTTAAGCAAACAAACAAAAACAATAAGAAGTATTCATGTTTTTCATTGACAGAAGTCACAAAAAGAAAACTGAATAAAAACAAAGTAAGGTGAGGATTAGGAAGTCCACTGCTATCAATGGCTTTGTAACAAGTATCAAGAAGCAGAATGATAACATCTTCCCAATTTTTCTGGTTTGTTTTTTTGGCAACTGCACTTAAACTAGACGGGATTAGGGCCAGGTACCAGGGCATTAAACGAACTACTCAAAGAGTGTGAGGAGTCTTTCTGAAATTCTCAAGACAAGACCAATTAAGTCCCATCCTAAATTTCAAAGGATAAACATGAATAAAATATCCACACAAAGATTAAAGCAGCGTACTATTACATTTTGCCAAGTTTTATCAATTCTTCATACATCATTTACATTAATAATGTACAAAAATGGTGGTGAGGCTCAGGACTTACCAGGAAATGTGTCCAAAGTTAACCTTCAGCTGCAATTACTCCATTCTACTCCCCTCACCTGGGCCACAGTTGGGTATTGATCTTTTCTCCAACTCTTGCATAGCACTTTTCCTGGAATGAAAGGTGATATATTATAAAACTGTTTATTCAAATACTGAGTAGATTATTCTTCATTCTACTGGCTGTACCCTATCCAGAAGGGCTTCCTACATATCAGTAGTTCCAAGTCAACCTTACTGTATCTGTAATGCAAATGTAGTATAATTTACTGACTTATTTTCTCTAAGTCAATTCATAATTTGATCTAAATCAATTTATTTTAAAATAATAATTTTACTTCCAAAATTATAGATTTGATATGATAGGTTAAAAAAAATTAATGTTTTCTGTTTAGTACTTGAAATGGTCTCATGTGCCACCTGTTGTCCAGGTAGCAATTTTGGTAAATACTACAAGCTATACAAAGGGCTGTTATTCAGGTTCAACTTATATGTGGGCTATAAATTATATTCATATTCATAAAATATAGGCATTCCTATCCATAATAACATGTACAAGTAAGCACAGGTACCCCCTGTCTGAAAGCTTCCCTATGTAGAGATTAATCATACATCCTGGTTTGCTTACGGCAGTCCCAGTATCTATCTGTTGTTGTCCTGGAGTTCCCTCTTTCACTCAAAAAAAATGGTTTGGATCATACCCAGAAGAGTAAAGCAAATTAGCCCCAGAAAGCTGGACAGTCAGAATGTTTTTAATTGGCCTTATTTTTCTCTGCTAGATAGCATTGCAGCTCGTTCATGCTCATTATCTTATTTAATCTTCACAACAACTCTGTGAGATAGGTATTATATATAAATTACAAATGGGGAATCAGCCTTAGGGAGGTTTAACCACTCAGGGCTCACACAACTACTACAGGATACAATTAGGACTCACATCAGGTCGCTGTTCCATACCAAGAGATCTTTTCTAGGGAACTGGGAGGTATGGGGGTCTAGGAAAGAAAAGATGAGGCGGGAGAGGCAGAAGTATTCTGGAAAAACAACTCATTCTGTCTCACAGTGGATTTGGAATGATGAGAGAAAGAAACAGACATGTCTGCAATGTTGCCACATTCACCCTTCATAAGAACCCATTTTCACTTACAACTGTAAAAACTGATTTGATGGCCAGGATTATAATCAACAGGACTTGTGAGTTAAATGGACTTTTGTGTTCTGCCCTGAAAATTTAACCAGACTATTAATTACAAGTTAAATTTTATAAATTAGTTTTCTTTTTTGATGCTGGAAAGAGAACAAAAATGAAATGGAGGAAAAGGAGGCACCCCTGTGTAGAGAAATGATGGGAGGGCACATGAAAAATAGCCTGCCTTTTCCACAGGACCCTCCCTTCCCCCTGCACTACTGTGTGCTGCCAAACACATCTATCCTCCCCTCTCACGTGGGGGAGGGCCAAGAGCTTTACATTACACCCCTGGTTTACACCCTGAGAAACGTCGTGTGAGCTGCAAAGTACACTTTGAAGCAACTTTCTAAAAGGCACATCTATATTTACCAATGTGTTCCACATGATTAAACTGTGAAATTTGTCTCCAGTTTGGCAATACCTTAGAGAGATGTGAGGTTTAGAAAGAAAATGCCTGTGAAGCTCCTTAAGTTCCACAGAAGGAAAGCACCACATACATCCAAGGTGCTATTGCACGCCTTGATGCTCTATTGGTGCAACAGTAAATAAAATAGCGTAAGTGATGATGTCACAATGTTATCATGCAACATCATCCACAGTGAGCGCAAGAAAAAGCTGTTTTTAAAATGCCTTGTTCCCCCTCCTCTTCAGAATGTTAAAGCATATGGTATCCAAAACTAGTTCACAGTGAACTTCATTTCTGCCACTGCTGTAAATGAAGTTTCTTCTCAGGCAGATGTCAGTGCTAAAAGTTTGGTGCTCATAAATACCAAATTTACATAAAATCTATACAGCTTTTTTTCAAAAATCGTTCTTGGTTGATGTAGGCTGCTTGGCTAGGATACATAGTTTACTTACTTATTCCTGAAACCATAATACATTTCCAGATTCACTAATTTGAAAAACAATAATTATGACTGAGCCACAATGACATTCTCTGGCTATAAATATCATGTGCCAGGTTGAAAGAAAAAGAAAAAAAATAGTAAGTTAATTGAGATTTTTTTGGACTATTATTAGGCCTATGGTTCCAAACTATGGGTCACCATTTATGCAAAAAGCATCAATTGTAGGAGGAATAAGAAGTGACTCTTATATGTACATACTTTACTCCCTAAAATCACCACCAAAATAGCCTGTTGATAAAGCAAACTTGAGTTTATTGTTTACCACAGTGAGTGAGGCTGCCACCTTGACAAGAATCTTGGTGATGTTTCAGAAGAAGAAAGACAAAGATAAGATATGTTTAAGATTTGGGAAATCTGATTTAAGGTTGATTGTTTGGTGTGAGAAGGGGGCTTGACTGTGATTTGGCACATTTGTGACCTAATAGTTTGGCATGGGTACATACAAAGAGGAGAAGGTTTGAACAAAGGGTCTCAAAGCAATTCTTGAAGAGTAAACAGCTGTTTGATGCTGCTTTGATTTGAATAATCTAATATTGGTTTAAATGGATTTTCAGGAAATTTCTGAAATAAACAATAAAGTTATTAGCAACTTTATCTTTCTAGGCAAGAATTTTCTGAAACAGTCAAATCAGGTTGATGAAGACTGTGGAATAATAAAATCACCTTAATGAAGCATCTGAATAACAAAGTCACATTATTATAAATCATAAGCAGGTGTGGATATGGAAGGTTTTGGTTCTCAACACAAACTCTTACTAGTATTACTCAAATTCTGCTGGAAAGGCAACACTCAGAGCAGCTCCTTTTCCGAGAAAAGGACTCACTATAAACCACCAAAGCAGACATGCCCAAAATCACATCAATATATTAGCTTTATATTATTAATTTAAGTACCATATAGAAGAATCTTTAACAGCTATAACAGCTTAAGGGAAGAATTTTATAAACTGACTGTAATAGTCATATCCTTTGAGAGTATACTGATAATCTATTTAATTGTACTAATAATACACTAGGGCAATGATTTCCAACTGTATTCCAACTTTTATCTGCATTGTGAGGTTCTTCTGAGAATAAACATTCTACCCCATCCAGAGATTGGTCATGGTACCTATGTGTTACTCAGTGACCTGGTGTCATAAGCCACAACTAATTGGGCTAGATTTGGATATTAAACTAAAGCTTTCCCAATCAGATTCCCTCTCCAGGAAGTTGTACTTAGGATTAAGCAATTCTAGTTTGTCTCTGCTGGTGGTAAAAACTAAATGACTTTGGGTTGACTACTAGTATTTAGTTGTTTTGTGTTTTTTTGTTTTTGTTTTTTTAACAATATGCAGGAAGTGAAGATGGCGGCATAGGTAACCATCTATACTCGCTGCCTCCCACAACCACATCAAAATTACAACTAATATACAGAACAACCATCATCCAGATCCACCGGAAAACTGGCTGAATGGAAGTCCTACAACTGGAGAAGTAAAAAACCACTGAGACTGGTGGGAGGTACAGAGGTGCAGAACAGGCTGGTCCGGCACCCACATGTGCCGCTTTCTTAATCGGGAGGGAGATTATCTCTGCAGAGACCACCTGGAGAAGCAAGGAGTGCCAGCCCCACACCACAAGCCCAGCCCAGGGTCCCAGAGCTGGGAAGAGAAGTCTCCAAAACTACAGGCTGTAAAAACCAGTGCAGACTGGGGCTCAGTGACACAGAGGCTGCTGAAGACCCAGATGTTCCCTTAAAAGTCTAGCACCATGAACTGAACTTACAAGGTCCTGCTTCCTCTGAGTTCCAGCACCAGGGTGAGGCTTTGGGGAACACAGACACTAATGAGGAGGAACTGCATTGTCCGGCAGCAGGGCAGGAACTCAGGGGCGGCTTTCTCCCAGATGGAGGTGCTCACAGGGATCATTGTTCCTATGCTGGGACCTCCCCAGTCGAAGGACTGACTGGCAGCCACTTATGTTTGCTCCACCCTGGTGATTCCCTAAGACCTAGCCTCATCCAATTTGCAACCCCACCCAAGCTGCCTGCAGCAGCTTTTGCATATGAATGGCCTGTCCTTGCTCAGGCTAAAATATCTCAGACAATCTGCAGCTGGGTCAGGGAACCCCAAACCTGCCAATAAAAGGCCCAAGACCCGGCATCAGCATAAGCCTGTCTTGCTTCACAGCTGGGCCTCGTCTGGGCACTTCCAAACCCAATACAAAATGGAGGAATCTACAGCTCTCTCTGTAGCTCCTGTTGGGTGGCCCTAGGCAGTGGCTGACTTTGCACCTCCCTGGAGACCCAAGAGTCAGTGTACCCAGTGGTCAATGTCAGACCAGACCAGATTACAACTCTACACATCCGTAAGTGACACACTCAAGGGGCAGATTCAGTGAGCACCAAAGCCCAGTGAAGCAAGTCCTGCTCCATAGGGGTGTCTCCTGCATAGCAACTCTCCCACTGTAGTCACAGCTGGTCCTCACAGCCAATTGGCCTGGAGGTCAATTCCTCCCAGTGACACCAACAGCAATCAAGTCTCAACTACAACAAGACTGGACTCACAAGCCCACAAAGGGGTGCACCTAGAGTTCCCAGCTCAGGTTAATGGAGAGGCTGAGCCACTGGGCCCTATAGGACACCCACTACACAAGGCCACTCTACCAACTCAAGACGACATAGCAGCTCTACCCAATACATAGAAACAAACACAGGGAAGCAGCCAAAATGCAAAGACAAAGAAACATGTCACAAATAACAGAAATGGAAAAAAGCAAACTACTGGATATAGAGTTCAAAACCATGGTTATAAGGTTACTCAAGAATCTTCTAGAAACCTCCAAGGGACTTAGTGAGACTTTCAAAGATCTTAGTGAAAATTCCAAAAAAAAAAAAAAAAAAAAAAAAAGGAAAAGGACCAGTCAGAAATTAAGCATACACTGACTAAAATAAAGAATAATGTACAGGGATTCAACAGTAGAAGAGAGGATTCTGAGAATCAAATCAACAATTTGACATGTGAGGAAGCAAAAACACCCAACCAGAAGAGCAAAAAGAAAAAAGAATAAAAAAATATGAAGATAGTGGAAGGAGCCTCTGGGACAACTTCAAGCATACCAACTTTCACATTATGGGGGTGCCAAAAGAAGAGAGAGAGCAAGATACTGAAAACCTATTTGAAGAAATAATGACAGAAAACTTCCCCTACCTGGTAAAAGAAATAACTTACAAATTCAGGAAGCACAGAGTCCCAAATAAGAGGAACCCAAAGAGGACCACACCAAGACACATTATAATTAAAATGCCAAGTACTAAAGACAAAGAGAATCTTAAAAACAGCAAAAGAAAAGCAGTGACTTACCTACAAGGGAATGCCCATACGACTGTCAGCTGATTTCTCAACAGAAACTATGCAGGCCAGAAGGGAGTGGCAAAAAATAAAGTGATGAATACCAAGGACCTACAATCAAGATTACTCTACCCAGCAAAGCTATCATTGAGAATTGAAGGTCAGATAAAGAGCTTCACGGACAAGAAAAAGCTAAAGAAGGTTATCACCACCAAACCAGTATTATATGAAATGTTGAAGAGTATTCTTTAAGAAGAGGGAGAAGAAAAAGATCAAAAATATGAACAACAAAATGGCAACAAATATATACCTATCGACAATTTAATCTAAAAATCAAAATAAACGAATAAGAAATCTAATGAAGCCCTAACTGGTTTGGTTCAGTGGATAAAGCATTGGCCTATGGACAGAAGGGTCTCGGGTTTGATGCTGGTCAAAGGCACATGCCCGGGTTTGAGCTCCATCCCCTACAGGAAGCAGCCAATCAATGATTCTCTCTTATCATTGATGTTTCTATCTCTCTCTCCCTCTCCCTTCCACTCTGAAATCAATAAAAATATATTTTTTTAAAAAGAAATCTAATGAACAGAATAAACTGGTAAATAAAATAGAATCAGAGGCATGGAAATGGAACAGACTGACGATTCTCAGAGGGAAGAGGGGGTGGGGGACGGGAAGAGATTAAACAAAGATCTTATATGCATACTAGAGGCCTGGTGCATGAATTCGTGCACCAGTGGGGTCCCTCAGCCTGGCCTGTGGGATTGGGCCAAAACCGGCTTTCCGACATCCCCCAAGGGATG